TATATGAGAACATAAATGTTCGTATGCTCGTCTACGGCGCGCCGAGAGTGAACAAGACAGCGAGCTCCTCCCACTAATAACTTGTTTCAAGCGACCGAAAATGCTTCCTTGGCAATCTCGGCCATTCGGCGGCCTTAGACATCAATAAGGGGTGGGGGCATCCTAAATAACATATAAGTTTTAATAAATTGTAGTAATACTGTATCCCTCCCCTTAATCCAGAATAGTATAAATTATGTCAAAACGCAACAGTTTACGAGATATTTAATTGTTTACGATTTTTCTTGCACGTTATACCTTTCCTTCATAAACTCGAGAATAGTTCAATAGAAGTAGAATTTTACCAGAAAAAAATTATAAACCAGCATTTCTTTTCAAAAAAGAAAGTCTCGAAAGATCAGAAAAGAAATACGTATGTTCGAGACTCGAGACTTGTGAGGAAAATCGAAAATCGAAAAATGCGAATAAAAATCGAATAGTTGCAAAAAGCATTTTTCACTTGTAAAACGAAAGATATTGATTGTATAAAAAAATGTACGTATTCGAAATAAATATAAAATGAGACGTGGAACATTAAGATCGATCTATCAGTTCAGTAGAAAAAAAATTAAAAAACACCGAAAAAAGCCTTTTTTCACTCGCTCTGTGTTCATTGAGATTTAAACGCAAAGCTTTAAAATTCTCATAAAATGTAGCCCTCGTAATGACGAACAAATGTAGTCCTGAACAAGCCTGAAATGTTCATTAATTTTTGCAAAAAGCTATTTGTTCACTAAAAACCTATCTGCGGAAAATTTAATTTCTTTATCTTTGAGCAGTCGCACAGCAATTTACAGGGATTTTGCTTCTTCAAGAGTTGCACTATTACGTACACTTAATAACAAAACAATTTTTTGCAGTTAAATTATTATAAAACGACTTTTAAAAGTGTTGAGTATCTTTTTCCAAAAGAATGGAAATAATTTCATTAATATGTATTATATCAAATAGCCGTGTGAAGCATTCGAAATCTGATATTTTTCTATGAATTTAAAAAAAAAAGATTACCCTCCGATTATTAGGAGCCGAGATAACAATTTTTTTTTTCAAAAAATCACTGTGGCTCTAGTTTTTAAGATTAAGAGTTCCGTCTGGCACCAATTTGTCAAGGAAGAATTGAATTTTTGCTGTTGAAAAACTCGAATTTTTTGGTGCCGAAAAAGTTTATTTAAAATCATTGGAAAGTTGAAAAACGCGAGCGAGACAATACGCCGGACGGAGTGAGGGAAGCAGGGTCGATAAAAAACGTGTTTAAAAAAAAAAAAAATATTCAGTTTTTTTGTTTAAAACATGTTTTATATATTTTTTAAGCAGCTTTAGAAAAAAATCGCGTTTAAAACAAAAAAAACCTTTTAAACATATATTTATTATATTTTATTAAAACGCATTTTCAAGTATTTTAAAATATTTCTGAGGTACATTTTAGCATTTAATTATACCTACTTCCTTCATTTTTCTTAAATTTGAGCGTATTATCACATGAATATATGTATATTTGAATGTCGAGTCTCAAACATACGCAATTCTTTTCTGATGGCCTTTCGAGACTTTCGTGAAGAGAAATGCTGATTTATAATTTTTTTCTAAAATTTTTTTCGGTAAAATTCTACTTCTAAACTATTCTTGCTATTCGAGTTTATGAAGGAGAGGTATACTATACAACGCGCATGACGCTCAAATAACTGAGCGTCCAAAATGATTACAATTTTCACAAATATTTTTCAAAATACGTACGGTTATAATATTCCAAAATGATTTTGACGAATAATGCCATTTTCATGTTAAGGCTCAAAACTTTTCAAATGACCCTCGTATATAATTTTATTGTTATCAGGGTTGGGTAAATTAATTTTTTTTTTAATTAACATAATAAATTAAAGTTAACAATCTTAAAAATTTAACTTAATTAAGATACAAGTTAATTTATAATGAAATTAATTGAATTAAAAGTTCAGTTAATAAACAGAAGTAATTGAAAAGTTAAAAATTAAATGTTCTTTTTTTAAATTCATGATTCCAGGGTTTCAGTCTTATAAATAACAGAAATGACAAATATACCATATACTTCATTTAGAAAATACTTTATATTTTATTTACATGTTCTGTTTATATATACTGTTTAGTATATAAGATTCGACTAAGAATACTGGCCTGTAGTATAATTTCACCACTATTATATCACTTTGTGATATAAGCTTCAGATACAATATGAAGGAGTAGCGATAGTAATAAAAAATAATAGATTTCAATTTATCAGAAATTAGATACATCGAATAAATGGTTTCTGACAGATTGAAATCTGGGAGTCGATTGTGTAATTTGAAATGAGGTAAAAATTACAAAAGTGAGCAAATTCACTAGAATATTTATAATTTCATTGATCAACACTTAATAAATTTGCTTAATTTCCACTTTATTTTAAGTTATCGCTACTATGTATTATGTCTGAGACTTAATTTCAAAGAATTAAAAAATTAATAGTTATGCATAAAATGTAATTAAATAAAGTTAAAAAGTTAAGAGTCTAAAATGTAACTAAGTTAAGTTAAAATTAATTAACTTTTTAACTTAACTTTTATTTTTTTAACTTAGTACTATCCAGCCTTGCTTATTATATGTATATTATAAGAGCGTTTTTATTATCATCTTATATTAATTTATAAGAGATTTATTATATCATCTTATAAATTAATTTTTAACGCATTGGAAATATTAATGAAATTATTAAACAAAATTGTCCATTTGGTTTACTTTTTTATATTTGCCGTCATCTTGCAGTGTCCAACTCTGATATTTTAAATATTTATCGCGTCACACAAGATATATTTCTTGGTTTCTTATATACTTCAACTCTGTATCATTTTGACAATTGTAAAGCAAAGCAATTGACAAAATACGATAATGCAATATATTGACATAATTGTTTTCTTGTGATAAGTTTTAACTTAGTTATGTGCCGATTTATCAGGATAAAGATCTTTAAAGATCTGTCTTCTATTTATGTAAACAATTAAAAAATGGCAATTTTTGAGTTATGTGCATTGTTCTGGTAAATGAGTAGCATATAAAAATTTTCATTTTTTATATTTCCGCTCTAAGGAAAATACATGATCGATATCCTAGGAGTTAATTGTATAACTTGAAATGAGATGAAAATTACAAAAGTGAGCAGACTCAAATATTCGTAATTATATTTCATTTAAATATTCATCATTTAATTAGTCAATACCTGTAAGTGAATTTGTTCATTTGCAATTTGTAATTTGCACTTCATTTCAAGATATACAATTGACTTCCTGGGACGTGTTCGGAGTACCAACCCAGGTACTCTCTAGGTATTATTCTTGTTTAATATTCGGTAAACAACTAAGATAAAGTGATTCCTTGGGAATCTGAAGCCAGCATTGGACATCAATTATCCTATACAGCACAGAACATGTTATTTCAACGTTCTGTGCTACATGGGCATATAACTTTTTTTCTAGAGCGGAAATGTGGAAGTAAACATTTTTATGTATGTGTGTATGTTTGTATGCACATATCCACACACATGTACAAAAAAATTTCATGTTTCCGCTTGCGCTCTAGAGAAAAGTTACGTGATCGATAAACCGAAAATAGCATTATCATTTTTCAAATAATCAATTATGATGCACAAATATTTAGATTAATAGCATATTTTAAAAACATAAGAAAACAATAGGATTTAAACAAATCTAAGTGGTCAATCATACTTGAGAACTTAAGGCATTAACATAAGCAAAAATTTTCATTTATTTGCATCTTACGTTTTAAACTTATATTTTTATAGGTGTTTGCGTCATAAAAAAAGCTCTTGAATATGCCTTGATATGCTTTCAGACAACTAGGCATTTCTATCCCCCTCATGTATACAAAAGATTGTATATATAAATGGTAATTGTGTCTTGTTCACTGATTTTGATGAAATTAGGCTTATTCGACGCATTTTTGCATGAAACGAAAGAATCTGGCAAAAAAAGTGTCGCTTGCCGAACTGAGATATTAAGCGTTAAAGTTCACGATTATTCAGGTTATGAAATCTGTCACAGAGACAAAATGAGGTCTGTAATTATATTGTTTCACATGAGTATCGACTTTCTACACGAAGCGACTGTGTATCACCCCTGATTCTCACTCCCTCCTCCCTGCAAAGGGACGCACGACTTCTATAATTGCGGTTGTGAAGTTAAAAAATTTGTATATAGACAGTGGAGTATATAGACTAGTGCTTATTGATTCGGAGCGGCTACGCCGTCCCGAACAAAGAAAAAACACATCCTACTTGGAGCCTAAGAAATTGCAGCCTAGACAGTAAAAAGACCGCTCTAAAAAGACTGTTCTCACACATCCCACTGTCTTCATGGGTTAGAAATAATAATTCTAGGCGGTTAGGTCCCAAGCGAACAGGATGTGTTATTTTTTTTTTGTTCGGGGCTGCATAGCCGCCCTGAATCAATAAGCACTAGTCTATACGTCTTACTGTCTATATGACAGATTTTCTAACCTCAACAACAACAGTACAATTATAGAAGTCGTGCGCCTCTTTGCAGAGGGAAGGTGAGAGTCGGGGGTGAGAGTTGCTTCGCGTAGAAAGTCGAAACTCATGTGAAATGTTACAATTATAGACCTCATTTTATCTCTGTGACAGATTTCCTAATCCGATAACCGCGAAAATAATCGCGAACTTTAACTTTAACATCTCAGTTCGCAAGGCAAAACGATACTTTTTTTGCCAGATTCTTTCATTTTATACAAAAACGCGTCAAATAAGCCTAATTTCATCAAAATCGGTGAACAAGACACAACTCTAGACAATTACCATATAAATTAATGAGGTTATGTTTCTTAATCATTTCAAAACTATTTTACTACAGATTCACAATTCATGTTCAAAGTATTAAATACTTAAAAATAAATATATAATATAATTTACCACTTACCGTTAACCATATGGAACTCTTATTTTCTAAAAAATAATCACTGTGATTATAAAATTTGACGCAATATGATATGATGCGTTAAATTATGTCTACGACCTACGTTTACTTTTAGTTACGACACCGACGAGATACTAGGGAGTTTTTGTTATACTGTGTATTGAGTAGAGGTTTGGTGTGCGTTCCAAAACTCGACTCCGAGTAAACGAAGTTAACTCTACGCTGTTCCAAAACGCGAGGTAATTAATCGTATAGGCAAAGCTCATAAAATCTTATTAAATACATGTTAATCATAGCTTGAACGAAACATGACTAATACAATTTATATAATAAGTGAGATGTGTCGGTCACAAGTATAAATATTAAAAGAATCAATCAAAAGTAAATAGGTCTGTTTTTATTGCTGCACTTTCTGAATTTATTGCACCGATTCAGAGTGCAGCAATAAAAAACAACCTAATATTATCCTACTGAAAAAAAATCACGTCTCACAGGATGCGGTCGAGATGTCGCTACAAATGCTTCAAAGCATTTTTTGATTAGTCAATTAATAAAATTCTTTTTTCCGATTGGTTAATCAAATGCTTTGAAACATTCGTGGACCGATATTCATAGTTGATTCTTATTTCAAGATCATCTTAAGTAATGTCTTACAATGCAGCCCTCTGATTGGTTCATAACTTTTTATTTTTTCGTACTTAAGATGGTCTTGAATGGCTACGTTCAGCGGACTCAACAGTTGAGTGAGCGCTTATTGTTATTGGTATATTCTTTTAGATTATCTAGCAATTTAAATCTGGAAGAATACATAAATAGCAGCGAGCGCTCACTCATCTGTTGAGTCCGTTGAACGCAGCCAATATAAGATCTGACTATGAATACCGGCCATAGTGGCAACTCAATTACACCCACAGTTGTATGATGAAATCATGTAATTAAAACATGTAATTAAATCGTGTAACGGATCCAAATCAGTACGTGATTTTTTAAAATTGTACAATTTGAAAAGTCACATGATATGTTCTTTTTTTTTATTTCTATTATTCAATTCTTCAAAATTTTACAACTATAAAATCACATGATGGATAAAATTATTTCTAATATTATGTGACTTTTCAAATTACATTACTTTTAAAAAAATCACGTACTGATTTGAAATTTATTACATGATTTACATGTTTTAATTACATGATTTCATGTAACGTTGTAATATGATTTTTTTCAGTAGAGTATTGTTTCGTTCGAGCTATGAAATAATATGTGTTTAATAAGATTTTCTGAATCTGCAATTAATATGGAATAATTCTTCATTATTATCTTATCATTATTTGATGTTTTAAACGATTTCCTTTTTTATTTAGAATGAGTCACTGTTTTTTTTGTTGGTTTTTATTATTAACTCAGATAGTCAACGTATCTTGTCGCATGTTGCCTACTAAGTATACATTGCTAAGTATGTGTTGCTACTAGAAGTCTACCAACTGATTATAAGTCCTCATTTGTTGGCAACTTGGTACCTTCATAATATACGATAACTATGGGTATAGTTAATGCGCGATGTTGCAAACGCTTTGAAGCAAATGCTTTTTTTAATTGGTCAGCTTGTAAAATTCTTTGTTCTAATTAATCCATCAAACACTTCAAAGCATTTGTAGCGAAACTTTGATGACAGCCACTGAGTATCAGTTTGCCGACAACTTTAAAATCGTCATCATTAAAATTCTATTACCATCATATTGCTGTAATAATGGCCGCGTTCAGCAGAACGTTCATTTTGTAATTGTTGGAAGTTTTCTTCGCGCTGATTGAGTTATGCTTTTAGATCGAAAGGAATGGTTCTATCTGAATGAAGAATCATAAAACGGTTGCAAAACTGTTGTGTTTTACTGAACACAGCTAATATGCAGCATCATATCAGAGAGAAGCGATGGCTCTTGCATTGGACGCGGAAACGCTTCAAATGTCGCGTGGCAAAATGTGATGCAGTAGCCAATAAGCTAGAGCTTCTAATATGTTTATTGGTTACCGCGGTTTTGTCGCGCGATAGCGCGACTGGAAGCGTTTCCGCGTCCAGTGTGCAGGAGCCATGAGAGTGCGATTATGGAGCGCGGTATGCGATAACTAATAGTAACTAATTAGGCAACTAGGAAACTGCGTACCACGTATGTAAACAATTGATGACAACAGAGAAAAATATTAGGGCGCTTCTCGTCTCGATTCCAAGCCTGTTCTCTCCTCCGAGTTGGTAGACTTCTGCCACTGAGCCACACAGCCTTGACGCTATTGTATGTATATCTAGTGAATTTCTTACACATACAATATTTCTTTCGCTGATATTATTGTATTGGGTCATCTAAAAAGTATCCGCGGTTTTTTGTCACTAGATGTGTGTTGATGGTCATATATCTAGTGACAAAGTACCGCGGATACTTTTTAGATGACCCAAACGACTGCATGGGCTAGTAACACATTCACATTACTATACACTGCTGTACACTTTTTAATGGAATTAATTGATTTAAACGCAATTATTAAATAAATTTGTTTAAAAAATAAGAGTATTGATAAAATGTGCATAAAAAATGTTAATATATTAAAAAAAATTTATACTAATGTAAGTTTGTCATTAGCCCGTGCAAATCGCACGCGACCGTGCTCCATGTAATATCAGCGAAAGAAATAGGCGGTACGTGATACGTGGTTTCCTAATTGCCTAGTTAGTTACTATTAGTTAGAAGCTCCGCACAATAAAAGAAACAGGGAACAGAGAACAGAGAATAAGAATCTATCAGAAATTATTAGGTGTTGGAATTAATTCGTAGCGTTTT